GTACTTATCACGATCCTCTTGAGTGGAAGCCTCAAAGTAGTGGGCCTGAAGCTCTCGGCTAGGAAGAAGAACAAGAAAGGATCGGGTATCGTGAAGTACTCTGATCAGTTCTAAATGCTCATTCATTATTGAATCAACTTTCCCTGATCGAGACGAAGTGAGATCCTGATGCTTTCCAAGTAGGCTAGAGCCGCTTGTTACTCCATGTGCCGGAGTCGAGGTAATTGGAGGATGCAAAATTTGATGTTGCTTCAAGTTGTGTTGATGAGACAGTCCGGGTCTGAGCTTAAGAGGTGTAGTCCAAGTGCTAGATGAAAAGGCTTTGCCGGCACCGCTGGAAGCTATGAGAGTGTGGGTTGATGCCATGGATGAAGAATTGGCAATGCTAACATCGGGCCGATCTAGCTCTGTAGCCGCTCCACGAGAAGTTGGAGATAATACAGGAGTAGATGAGACTTTCCCAGCAGAAGTTGAAGCTACTTCTTCTAAGGATAAGTTTGTGAGCGGAGGGCATTCGTGGAGCAATCGCAAATGCAACTCAGATATCAAATTTCTGTAATGCAACGAGAAATAAAAATCTAGTGAAGCCAAGTTTAGGGTAAAAAAATACACTAAGGCAAACAAATTCCAATCCTGTTAGTCATATAAACTAGATGGTATTTTTATGGAAAATTATACTTATCCTTATTTTTAGTCGTAAGAATTTGAACTAATAACCATAGAATAAAGACAGACAACTCTTAACAAAAAATCTTTTCAAATAAGTAACTCTTTTACGCTCTTATTTCTTACAATCTGGATTTTGCTGATCAATGTTGATTTAGATACCAATGATTTAGATAGATTACAGCTGAATTATTATCATGGACTTCGGACTAATTAATCCCTTTCTTAAAATGCATCCTGTCTGAAATTGAGAACAACAGAGAATAATTTAAGCGGTAAACATTGATAGTCAAATTCTTGTGCTGGCTAACTTTAAAAATTAAAGAGATGTTAAAGGGAACTATGTGGAAATAATTGTATGTAAATGCAAAATATAATAGTATATTGCTTAAGAGAGATACTAAAAGCGCAATAATATTGGTTGATGATTGTAAAATTAGGCAAAAAAAGCTCAATGACTTTAAGCAAAAAATTTTTTTTAACCAAATCACCAATGTTCCCTAGGTTTGGAAGTCTATTTATATAATTAATAATTAAAGCATTGATACTCTCTTTCGAGGCTAAAGAAAAAGAATAATCTCTATGGGTCAGAGAAACGAATAATATAACTTTTGAAAATTAAAGGTAAAGTATAATCGAGTTATATATCAGGAATAAGTTTACATTCGAGATAAATCTGTATCGTAGAAATTAGGCAAGAATTAGGCAAGCCTTTCCTTTAATGTGATGCCAGTAAGAGTCATACTATTTCTTCCAATGAAGGTGCACGTGTTAAGATATTAGGATTAGAACTTAGTGGGGTCAAATATATGCAGTTTAGCATAAATCAAGATTCCGTTTTAAAATATAGTAAAAGATGAAATTCAGTCTTTTGTTTGACTGACTGTGGGCAACTAACTATGAGTAAAAAAAAATGTAAAGTACATACAAATAGCTTTTCACTCTTAAGGCTAAAAGGAGCTATAGTCGAGTATCCATTCATCCAAAATGAATGTGGAGTCACCTCCCTTGACAATTAGTGGTAAAATCTGCACAACTAAAAACTAAACTTGTATGAGACAAAAAAAATAAACAGCAAATTGTAAATCGAAAACTTTTAAGCACCCAAT